TTTGTGACCTTGGTCAAGTCATTTAACCTTCTTGTGCCTCAGTTTCCTCATTTACAAAATGAAAAGTTGAACTAATTGGCTAGTCAAGTTCCTTCTAGCTTTAGATCTGTGATTTTATTATCCTCTTATAATCTAACTTCCAACCCTCAATTTACACTGCTATCTCAATGTTCACTGTTGGCCTCCTAATTGCCAAATTCAGTAACTTTGCCTCAGGTCTTATACAGCCTGAACTCTATATAGTGGCTAATTATTAACATTTATATCACTCTAAATTTTACAAAGAACTTTCTTAACAGGTACTCCAGAGGTAGGTTGGCCACTGTGTTATTATCCAGAAATCTTACATATGAGGAAACTGAAACTTTTGTAATTTAAATGACTTATCCATATTGACATAACTAAGTTCACAAATGTCTCAGATTTTTTTTTTGTGAGGGGCACCATAATGCCCCCTTACAAGATTCAGCACAATAATATTTAACAAAGTAATGATCCCTTCCTGCTTCACAGTGTCGATTTTGGACACATGGAGTTTGAAGTGCTGATAGGACATTCAGTGAGAGATGTATTAAACACACCAAAAGATACTGGTCTGCAGGTCAGTATATCAGAATTAGAGATGTAGATTTCATATCTTCCTCTTTTAACCATCTCTTCCATTCCCTAAATCTCCCACTCTACTGGATGCTTCCTCTCATCATGGAAATGTTTATTTCTCCTATACAAAAAAAAAAAAATCACTTGATATCATTTTGTGTTAGGCAGCAGTTCCCTGATGCAGTTCTCTTTACCCTAACATAGCTTTCTCCCCACACACAACCTCCCCATAACTTCCTTTAGTCCCTAGTGGCTTCCTGGTGAAGCATCTTCCCTTCACGAAACTTCATTGGCCCTAATTTCTCTGGTGTAGTTCCCTGGCCTAGGCCAATAAAAAATCTAAGTCCTGTAAGCTTGGCGCCTCTTGAACTTGGTGGGTGCCTGAGACCACACCAGTTGCCCTACCTTAATGACAGGCCAGTTTCCAGATTGAGAATGTCAGGAGGATGCTTACAGAGAAACTAAGCACCTCTCTATTCTTACTGTATATCCTTGTTGGATATCCTTGCTATGTTAGGGCAAAGTAAACATCCTGTTTTGTTAAATGTTCAGTGACTTGTGAGTGCCTCATTTCATTGCAACATCGACCCTGAACTAAGAGGGTTCTGGCTTTAAAGTTGGGTCTACAATACTTTTCAACCTATCAACCTTCTTCTCTTTCCTCTTTCACTACTGAACTAGAAAAAAAGTATTAGTCTACATGGTTGGCTTTGAATTTTTCACCACTTAGTCGTTCCTTAGTTCTTTGCAAATTAGTTGCTGTTCCCAAAACTCTGCTGAAATGGCTTTGTCAAAAAAGGTCTCTAAAGCCTTTATTGCCAAATTAAATTTTCCATGTTTTCATCCTCTTTGGCCACACTATGACATTGCAATGGATAACCAACTCTTTTGTGTTGGTAGGCATCTGTATGTGATTACCAAGCACTTGATTTTTTGGTGACCCTTCCCAATATTCTTGGTATGTCTTTAGTTTCACTCTCAAATCCTACTTCAAGCCCAGCCATATGCTTTGGTACAGCTTTGCCTGAACTTCTAATTATGCTGATTCCTCAAGTATGAATAAAGGGCTATATGAGTTAGAATCTTAAAGTTTAGGAGGCCTTAAGTTACCTCATGAATGTCTGTCAGAATCTTTCTTCAACATCCTTGACAGCCTTATGCTCTCTTTATCTTCAAAACAATTCCAGTGCCTTTCCCACTCTGACCTTCAACCTCCCCCTGTCCCCCACTGTTCACATGTGGTGTTCCAGAAAAAAAAAAAAGCTACCCAGATTCTAGGCACTCTTGGTGTGAACAACCACATCCACTAATAACCATAGTTCATAAGCTCAAGTTCTATATTTGTTAAAAAAAAAAAGTAAAAGAATGAGGAAAATAACTATCATATTGGGTACATCCTATATATGGAGGATTAATGGGGCAACCTAGAAAAGAATCACAAAGGATTAGAAGATATAGAGAGGACTCAATTTGATCCAGCAGAGGAAACTGCACCATGAGAATCATGAACCCATCCAAATGAATTCAAATTATTATTTGCATACATGTAGCATATAATCTTGCCGGCTTGACCATGAACTCCTTAAGGGTAGGAACTGCTTCTTATTCATCTTTGTACCCAAGTACCAAGCAAACTCCCTTGCATAATCAGCAGGATAAATGTTTAATTGAAATATTTCTCTTTAGTGAATTGAAACAACTCAGGAGAAGCAGTGTGGCAAAATTGATAGATAGGACTCTGATCCAGAAACACCTGATTTTGATTCCTGCCTCTATATGCTGGACGTTTGACTACACACCCAGTGCTCTAGGCATATCTCTGCTACAAGTTGTAGAGAAGACACTAATTTGTATTGGTGAAGGGGATTTCCTCATTAAAGTTGCCTAAACCAATGAAATCAGGGTTCCAGTCCTCAATATAACTCAAATAATGACAAATATTAAAACTAACCTACCCAAGAATTTCTTTTCCCAGAATAATGTACAAATCTTTCTTGGTTTTCCCATATGATCATTCATGATTGAGAACCAATAGCTGATAATAAGTGATGCTCCCAATGTCATTTTGGCATTTCAAGTAATAAGGTATAAGCTAGTAACCCTCTCTCCTTAGTCCCTGCAGTACAGAGTGCTGTGCTAGGTACTGGAGGAGAAACAAAATTTTTAAGATACAACCCTGCCCTGAATGAACTTTAAAGTCTTGTGCATTTGTGAATAGTTAAATAACAATATGAGACAATGGCAAAAAATGATATTGAATGTAATATATTACCAAGTTTTTTAAGTGGTATGAATAACAAATGATTTAAGTTCTTAGAAGGCAGATATTACTGACTGTGGGAGAAGTTTTCTTGTGGTAAAGTTGGAGTGAGACAACTCTTGAAGGATAGCTATAAGTTGGATAGCTAAAAAGAGCCAATAAAGCTGGAAGAATCACAGTGTTCTTAGAAAATAATGAAGAGACCAGCATTAGGGTACTTCAGTGAAAATTTAATCATGAAAGAACATTGTAGGAGTCAACTTTGGAAAGATAGTTTAAGAGGAAATTGTAGAGCGCTTCGAATGACAAGCTAAGAAGTTCAGATTTTATCCTGCAGGAAATGGAAAACCACTGCACATTTTTGAGCAGGGGAGCCTTATGATTTTTAAAAAAAAAGCTTGTCTCATTTTAAAACATTTACAAAAAGAAAATAAAATTAAAAAGTACCATTTTTATAGGGCAGAAGTCTTGACCTGTCAAGTAGATAGTTGGGTTTACTGCTATAAATTATTAACCTAATTCATGGAACATATTTTCTCAATCTGGAAAATATCATAGAGATTATCTAGTATGGTTATTTGCCTCATATTGAAAATAAGGAAATTGAGCCCCCCCAAAAAAAATGTGACTTGTCCAATGTCACATGGTACAGCTAGTACCATAAAGGAAATACTAAAGACAATTATTGGCTTCTTTTTTTCAACTTAGCTCTTATGGAATCTAGGTATCAAATGTTGTCCCTTCTTTCTTATCTATAATTTGTGTCTCCAAAATGGAACATATAAAATGCTATGTGTAATATTATTCCTGCAGTAGTTACTTGATAATCTTGCTGCTTACTGACTTTAAAAATAAGTACAATAGAAAGAGGTGATTTCTGGAATGTGTATAATAAAGATATAACACAAAGTTGTTAGTGAAAAATTTAATAAATTATGTTTACATTTAGGCTTATATTGCCAGAGCCAATTTTATGTAGAGGATAAGAGCTTTTTGCATACAAAAATGTGTTTCTTGAGTCTTACTCTACAGAATTAAATATGCCTTGTGAAGTTCACTTCCTAATAGTGTTAAGGCAGACATATTAATTAAAGAATTATAATTTACAACAAAAGGCAAAATAGAAATACAGTTCATCAATATGTTACTTCTTTCCTGACAAATAAACTTGCATTCATTCACTCTTAATTCTGAATGAAAATGGACATTGTGACAGAATAGGGTTTGGTTCTAAAAAAATCCTGTTTCAGAGAAGATGAATTTTGGAAATTTTTTATTTCAAGACAAATAGTAATAGCAAATAATTGCCCTATGGAGTTGATCTGACCATTGTTTTATGAAGAAATTACTCCTGAGAACGTGAGTAAAGTTTTATTAAATGGCCTCCTAAAAGCATGAAGGAATTATGCAGCTAGGTGGCATAGTGGGGAACTAGTTGTTCAATGAATAGAGTGTCAGGCCTGGAGTCAGGAAGACTCATCTTCCTGAATTCAAATCTGGCCTCAGATACTTACTAGCTGTGTGACCCTTGGCAAGTCACTTAACCCTGTTTGCCTCAGTTTCCTCATCTTCAAAATGAACTGGAGAAGGAAATGTCAGACCACTGCAGTATCTCTGCCAAGAAAACTCCAAAAGGTATCAAAAAGAACCAGACATAACTAAAAATGACTAAACAACAATCACAAAATACATACTTTATATACCAAGGCAATTAGTGATTGAACTGAAATCTGGTCAAATGAAATACAAATTTATTTATTATTATTATTAAATCATAAAGAGATAGTATATGGACCCTCTTATGAAGAAATTTCTCATAAATAGTAAATGTACTGAATACAGAGATTATTCTATCCATTTATTTGTTTATTATTATTATGCTCACACAGAATTCTCCTTTAAATGAGAATGTTCTTCCATTTCAGATAGGCTTTATATTAACCCAGAGAGAAATAATTCTGCTTCACAGTAGGTGAACTGATTTTATATTTTCTGATTATTCAGAATTGCTAAATTATGCATTTGTGTGCCTACAGATGCAATAATTTTACTGTTTCCATGAAAAGGCATCTTGCAAATGCTAAACATATTGTTTATTTTCAGTGTATATATTTTAAAATATGTGTTATTTACTTGATAGACTTGAATCAAAGGAGCCATTCCTGTCTGTTGGGTGAGTATGTCTGCAAATCTTCTTTCAACATTAATTGTTTAACTCAGTTGAATAATAGGGTCCTTCTAATATCATGTAAATTCCATATTCCATATGAAGTCATATCAATGCATGCTTTATTCATAGAACATCAATGTTTATGGGTTTTTTTAATTCTTTCATGAAAATTTGCCATCTAATGTGTGCAGTAAATAATTTTGCAGCATGAATAATCCAGTTAGTGAATGAATATAGAATTTCATGCCCTTCAACAAAACATAACACAAAGGAAATTTAAAAGGTAGATTTATAACGGAAAGGTAAGTTTGGTTTTGGGTATTTGTTCTCCCAGGTCCTCTTAATCTTAACATTTCTGTCTATCCAATTTCTCTTCTCTCTTTTTCTCTCATTTTCTCTGATTCAGTGTTGCTTCCTCTCTTCTTCTCTAAACTTGTCTTCCAATACATGTTCTTTTCCACTTTCCTCTTATCTCACTTTCATCTCCCCAACACCATCATACTGAATGCTGCTCTGAACACACAGAGGAAGAACCCTGAGGCAAATAAAGGTGAGACTTCAAGCTAACGAGCTCTGGTGTGTAAACACTGAATCATGGCAGGGGTCTCAAATTCCAACTGCTCTTTCAAAGATTTTATTATTTTATGGCACTGCTAACAATAGTGTACATTTGCCATTATTGCAATTTGGAACTCACTGAATGTGTTTCTTTTTTGTTATTGAGGAGTAAATTTTGTGAAATATAAAAGTTTATTCTACTTAATAGCTAGCCAATTAGTAAGTATTAAGTACTTTTAATGCCTAGTACGAGGATATGTGGTATTGAATATGAAGAAGAGATAAATGATGTTCTCTCTTGGTGCTTGCTTTTAGGGAAATTACAGGGGAGTTGGCAAGAGTAGTGGTGCATTTGTAAAGAAAATTGAACTAATGCCAATTAGGTTAACCAGAAACATCATAGTAAGGGCTTTTAATTGGAAATGATCAGCATTACTTTTTTCCCATTACTTTAAATTTTGCTACTAGATGTCAAGTGCTAAGCTCATCCACTGACCAGTGGAATTCTTTCTTCTTTCCCAAGCATCTAAGAAATACTTTTAAACTCAATCCAAATAACAAACAGAAGAATCAGTGCAGTGTGTTATGTTTACCAGAAAATTTTAAAATAGAAAAAACAATTTGTTTCATATAAACCTTTTCAGCAGATTTGTTTTCCACATTTTGGTAATTGCCTTATGATTGAAATGGATTTTCCAATTTTCATTCTCTTGTCAAAAGGGACTGAAGTAACACTGTGGTCTTACTTGATGCAAAGTTTTTGTTTCATTTTGTTTTGTCTGGTACTGTTCCCTCTTCTCATGAATTAGTCTGCATTGATTCCATTTTTGTTTGTATAACGTCAAGACCACATCCTACATAACTTTTGTTTTTCATATTTTTTACATGTTTAACACCCTTCTCGACACTTTAACCCAAAAGAATGATAGTTGTTTGTATATAAACTCTTAACCTTTTAAATTCAGCCAGTGTTAATGTAAGCAGTATACAGCCCACAGATGTGAAGTCCCTGTTATTTTTTGGGAAAATTCCATCCCCCAGAAACCAAAGCAGGATCAACAGTGATAGTATTATTCCAACACAGACTCTGAGTCTCTTATAGTTTTTTCTGTATCTTTGCTTGCAGTGGTATATTAGGATAATAAAGTCATCTGCTGTACTCATGCACAGGCCTTTTGAGAGATAGGAACTGGGACTGGACCCATAATTTAATTGGCATAGTGAGCTTCCAGTAAGACCTTCCATAGCAATGCAGACAGTCACCTTAAAGTATTAGAGATACTACCTACAGCACTAAGAGGTTAAATGATTTGCCCTGAGTGATACAACCAATGTGTGTCAGAGACAACACTTGGATCCAGGTGGCTAGAAGACCAACTCTTTTTCCATTGCCACAATGCCTCTCTTGGTATACTAATTAAAAGTAACAAGTTATTTGGCTCATTTGCAAAGGCATTTGCTGTTCTTATATGGATTGTTAAGTGACGTCAAAGTATGGTATCATTTTTCTCAAGAACAATTTCTGTCTCTAATAAATGAAAAAAAAAATTGTTCTGGGCCTAAACTGGTTAAAAGTAATCTACCCCAAGAAGCTGCTTTAACTCTTCTGGGCCACTAGGGTCCTATTTAGCAACTTACTGCTCCACTGGACTATTACTGTTCTATGAGTCATTTTCAGGCATAATAGATCCATAATGGATCCCAACGGCAGCCAGAGAACTGAATTATTACTGAGCTGGTATTCCACATTCGATCAGAAAATAAAACTTTTCTTTTATATGCATTGCCTAGAGTTACATGCAGTCACAAAAAGATGATTTTTATATGAAGAAAGAAATGTACATGGAAATTAACCATCAAGTAAGAAAAAATAACAGACTGTCAAATCTTTATTTATAAGCACCAATAACTGTGAATAAATTTTGCAAAATGGGAAGAAGATATCAATACACGTTTAACATGTACTGTAATTAACATAAAGTTGTGAATCAGATTCCTTTCTTGATACCTATATACCCTGACTGGCATATAAAACTTAACCTGCCACTGTGAAAACTGACATTAAAGGGACAAATATTAAATTCAGCCAAAATATTCGTCAATCTAAAATTTCTTGGCACATGAAGAAAGGCTATTGATCTGTGATCAGAATCTCAAATTCTTAAGGAAAAAATGATCAGTTTAAAATTTCCCTCAAATTCACCATGGAAATTCCACTCAATGTCAAAATAAAAGAGCAGTTATGTGAGCAGTCTTGCCATGCCCCTCTTTTACCCCTAAAGCTACAGCTGCAAAATTCTGAATCCTTCTAGACTCTGATGGGCCTTGAAAACAACACAGGGCCCATCTCCTCATCTTCCTTCTTTGCTGAAAGTGCTGTTGGGTGCTCTGAAATTTAGCCAGACTTCACTTATAAAGAACCAGAGACATATAAAATTTCCTGGGTTTGTTAAGTTTTGAAATGTTCACGGTGTGAATTATTCATTGTAGTACTGTATACAAATACACAGACGTGTTTGTGTGTGTGTATATATATATATATATATATATATATATATATATATATATATACATATAAGTATGGGGTGTGTGTGTGTGTGTGTGTGTGTGTGTGTACACACATACATGTTCTAGAAAATTTTAAATTAGTATTTACTTTAATTTAAGCCTGAGCAATTTTAGGATTAAAAAAATCAAGTTCATTTTTGCCAATTATATTGACTCATAGCTATTATTATAAAACTCCAGGTGAGATAAATATCTTTAATGTAACAAAGAATAAAAAAGAGCTAAAAAAAAATATTCCCAAATTTTCCAAGGTACCTTTACATAGAAAGCCAAGACCTACAACATAAAACCATTGGCAAACCACTTTATATAACCCCAATTCACCCTATCATCTGAGGAGAAGGTAAAATAGAACTGGAATGATCCCTCACCCTAAAAGTGATTTAACCAGTGTTTGGTTGTAGCAATATCTTACTGGGCACTGCAGAGATCCAGTTATGCTCAGGATACCAACCATCAACCAATTCAATTTAAGTCCATCCTCCACTCTGCTGTCAAAGTTATCTTCCTTAAACACAGATTTGATGGTGTCATCCTCCTCCACTCCCCCGTCAATAAACTCCAGTTGCTCCCTATCAACTGCTGGATCAAATATAAAATCCTCTGTTTGGCCTTCAAAATCCTTCATAACTTGACCCTCTTCTACTTTTTCAGTCTTCTTACACCTCCCTCTCTCCCCACTACCACCACAACCACTTATTTTTCAGTCCAGTGTCACAGCATTTTTGCCATTTTTCATACCTGACACACCATCATCAGAGAGACATTTTTGCTACTTATCCCACATACCTAGAATACTCTCCCTCCTCATCTCTACCACCAAGCTTCCCTAGCTTCCTTCAAATCTCAGCTAAAATTCAACCTTCTATGAGAAACTTTTCCTAATCTCCCTTAATGCTAGATACCTTTCCTCTGTTGGTTAAATCCAATTTATCCTAGTATAGCTTGTTAGTACATAACTGTTTCCATGTCACTTCCTCGATTAGGCTGTGAATTCCTTAAGAGCAGGAACTATCTTTTGCCTTTCTCTGTAGCTCCAGAGCTTAGCACAGTGCCTGGCTTATTGTGGGTGCTTAATAAATGTTTACCGACTGACTATCTGACTGAATTCAATATCAACAACAGAAAGAAGGGAAAAGGAAGGAAGGAAGGAAGGAAGGAAGGAAGGAAGGAAGGAAGGAGAAGGAAGGAAGGAAGGAAGGAAGGGAAAGAAAAAAGAAAAGTTCATTGCTTTCTAGGAACTTGTCATCTAAGAATAAGGTGGTATATAAACAAGACTTTAAAATATGAAAAGAATAAAAAAATGTTCAGGATAAAAGGAAGATCAAGACAAAGTGTTCTAAGAAATTTAGAAGATAGAGTCATTTTAGGATTTCAGATGGAAACGGAAATCGTCTGAGATAAGCTATAGATGAGGAAACAATCATAAAGAAGTCGATTGATTTTCTCAGTTACATAGTATGCAAGGAATAGCAGGGAGTTCAAACCCAGGTCTTCTGACTACAACCCACTTGTCTTTGATCTGCACCATGACTTTCAGTTGAAGAAGCAAGGACAGAGAAATTCATGGATGAGGTGCACCAAAACTGGACTTTGATAATAATGGTTGAGATTTGTATAGTGCTTTAAAGATTACAAGAAGTATCACTTGATTACCAACAATAGCTGTTTAAGTAGATACTACAAATATTATTATCCTCAATTAACTAATAAGGTAATTCAGTTTTAGAGAGTTTAAATGATTTGTCTATTATCATATAGCTAATACAAAAGCAATAGTCAAAACTACCTAGGCCAAATTTCTTAAGGCCTTGAGAGAAAAGAAGGGAAACACTCATCACCTAAAGGGCAATGGAGAGACAGATGGTAGTGACTGT